CGGCCCAGGACACCGTGTGAAAAAAAATGTGTGATAAAAGCCGGATCTGGAATGTCGCCCATAGCGAAGAAACAGATGGAGCCCATCCAGAAAATCCGAGCGAAAAGAACCCCTGCCCGATTTGTCTCCTCCTCCTCCTTTTCCTCCTCCTCCTCCCCCTCCTCCTCCTCCTCCTCCTCCGAGCGAAAAGAATCCCTCCTCCCTCGTGCCAGGCCGGCGAGGCCCACAGCCTGCCCACCAGCGGCCCCCGGCGGCAGCGCCCGAGCGCGGCCTCGAGAGGCCCCCGAAGGGGCTCGGAGCAGGCGGGGTCGGAGGATCGCCCCGCACCGCGGATGCGGCGCGATCTGGAGCCCGATGTGTCTCCTCCTCCCCCTCCTTTTCCTCCTCCTCCTCCCCCTTCTTCTCCTCCTCCTCCTTCACCCTCCTCCTCCTCCTCCTCTCCTCCTCCTCCTCTCCTCCTCCTCCTCATCCCCCTCCTCCTCTTTTCATCCCTCTTACCTCCCTCTCCTCCTCCGCCTCCGCATCCGCATCAGATCGGATCGCTCCGCATCCGCATCCTCATCTCATCCTCCTCCTCCTCCTCCTCCTCCTCCTCCTTCTCCTCCTCCTCCTCCTCCTCCTCCTCGCGGATGCACCACCGCTAAATCTCGAGTAGGAGATCGACTACATCATGAATCCACCCCAAGAGGGACTTTCGTCGAATTTACCAAGAATGAAGAACATGTCCCATGGATATACCAAAAGACTTGAACGCATTTCTTGTTGATTCCACGAACACTTTAATTTTGGGGGCATTCGATCATGTAGTCGATCTCCTACTCAAGCCCACAACCGCGGCAGCCTTGGGTCGGGTCCACTTCTGCGCCTCTCTGACGCCGCACGGGCCGTCTGGTCTCGCACGGCCGCGGCTCTCCGACAGCGCGGGTGGCCCGATGCTGGCCGATTCCGAGGCTCTGGCGGCACTCAGCCTCGAGCGCCCGCGCCGAGGTCGCCGCCACGTCGACTCGACACGTCGGGCGGGTGGTAATGGGGGGGGGACCTGCACGGGGGGCGAAGAAGAAGGCCCTCAAGGGGCCCTCTGGGGCCCCCCCCTTTGGAGCCGGCAGGGGCCCCGGAGGGCCCCTGCAGGGCCCTGTCTCTTCACCCCCCGCTGTCCATCACCACCCGCCCGAACACAGGATTGCAAAAAAACGAAGGATTGCAAAAAAACCTTCGTTTTTTGCAATCCTTCGTTTTTTGCAAAAAAAAAAAAAAAAAAAAAAAACGAAGGTTTTTTTGCAATCCTTCGTTTTTTTGCAAGCCTGCCGTTCCCAGACCTGCAGCGTCGCGGAGCCATCGGCGATGCGGGGCGAGGCCCCCAGGCCTCAGCCCCCAGCGCCGCCCGCGGGCGGCGCGCCCCGAGAGCCGTCCAGCCGCCTCGGGGCCGCGCGGGGGGCCCGCCCGCGTCGGGGCGGGGCCTCCAGGGGTCGTCGGTGCGCGGCATCCGCGCCGTGCCGAGGAAGCCTGCTTGGGTCAGGGGAGGAAAAGGTACCGATACCGCGACCCCAGCCTTGTTTTTGCCTTTTTGGGGCCACTTGGGGGACTCTCGTCCCCGCCGCCGGATTCGCCTCGAAGTCCTGGTCAGAGCGCACCCCTGGAGAGGTCCAGGGAGCAGCGGTGTGGGTACGTGGTGGCTTCCCCAGAGGGGGCATGCTTCACAGGAGGGGCTCTGGCCCTCCCTCGCCCTCGCAGGCAGGCCACGCTGAGTCGTGTCACACTCCATGCTCTCTTGCTGCCTCCGTCTGGCGGCTGGTTTGGCGCGCCTGGTCGCCGACATCCCCCGAAGCGAAGGGGGGGCCCTTCTGCACGTTGGGTGGAATGCAGCTTTCCCCGACGAACGTCATGTTCCCGTAGAGGCTTGACCAGGTGGTTGCAACGTCACGACTGAATGCACACATGGTGTACGAGTGCCCCCAGATTGACTCGGAGACGATGATTCTTGCCCACTGGTCGTTGCGGGCCCGACTGTTCAACAATATGGCTGCGTGCTTGCTCATTGTCTCAGCCTTCAGCCTGGGCCTGACCCCAAAAATGTCCAGAATGTTCACCCTTTTCTTATCAAGCGGATGACGTCGCCGTCCTTTTCTCCAAAAAAACAGGATCTCGTTTTCTTCTTGCCAATTCTTGCCAGCGTGGACCCCAAGCAATGAGTTTTCGCATTCTGGTGGTGGAAGATATGTGGTGCAGGCTATGCGGTGGAAGCCACGTGGTGGGGGCTATGTATGCAAGCTATGTCGCGGAAGCTATGCGGTAGAACCTATGTGGCAACTCTTCGCGTCCACAGAAATGCTGACAGAAAGCTGGGTCCCACTGAATGGGACTTTGCTTTTCGTAATCATGGCGCTTCTCGTCTCCCCCCTGGATGCGGGGGCGCACGCGGCGGCAATGGGTGGCAACGGGCCGAAGCGGCAACGGGCGGCAACGGGCGGACCAAACAAGCAGCAACGGTTGGCGACGGGCGGCAACGGGTCGGACCGTGGCGAATCTTCGACGCACGCACACAAACAGCAACGTGCAGGAACACAGCGAATCCTCGACGCACCCACACAAACGGCAACGGCTGGCAACGGGCCACAACAGGCCAGAACGCGGCGAATCCTCAACGCATCCACCCTGTTTGTGGGGACCACGTGAATGCTTTGTGCTCCGTTTCGATCTGTCGCCGCCGAATCCGCTCAAGCTTCAGCGCACTGAGGCCCCGCGCCATCCGATGGATGCGGGGCTCTGCGCGGCTTTGGCGGCGGCGGGGCCTGGCGTGCTACGAGAACTAGCACGCGGGGCCGTGGCGGAAGCGGCCCGGCTGGCGTTCGCGGGGGGGCCAGGGCTGTCCGCCCTGCCCCGATTGCCGGCCTGCGCCCTGCCCGCCGTGCCCAAGCTGCCCGCCCTCCCCGCCTTGCCCGGCGTGGGACTGCTTAGCCGCGGGCCCGCCCTGGGCCGTGTCGGCTGGCTCGGAGGTGACTGCGGCCGAGGCCGAGGTGCCCTGGCGGTGGCTGCTGGCGGTGGTACTCGCGTTCGCTGCTGGTCGCTGGAGCTTGGCAGGAGGGGCACCGCCCACGTCGCAGGCGGCTCGGGACCATGTCGACGTACGAGGAGAGGCGACCAGGGTCCAGGTTGCTGGTGCGGTTCGCCGCCGACGAGTGGACGCATGAGAGGATCTTCTTATGGCCGGTGCATCGCGATCGACGCCATGAGTGCTGGGTGATCCAGACGGCGGACGGAGATCGCTATGTCGAGCGGAAGGCTGACTGGCGGTGGCACATCTCGTTGCTGCACGGCTGGCCCGAGGGGTTCGCTGGCGACGCGGCGCGCTTCCGCGCCGAGGTGGGCCGCGAGGAGTTGCGCCAGATAGTGTTGGAGGGCCGCGACTTGGCGCGGGAGGAGCGCCGTCGACGCCGTCTCCCGCCCGACCTGGGCGCCCACCTCGGCGAGCAGCCGACGACGATGGTGGACTGGCACGGCGACGAGTGCGGGAAGGGGGCCGGCGCGCTGGAGGCGGCCGATCCTGCGCGAGCGGGTCGCGCTCTCGGAGGCCGCAGCCTGGCGCGCGCAGGCGTTCGAGAACGCTCGAGGCGTGGTCCCGCCAGCAGCGCCTCCCGATGGGCTCCCGCCCCCGGTGGAGGATCGGCCCCGCGACCTTCGAGAGGCTCTGCGGGCCCCAGTTGAGGAGGCTGGCGGCACGAGCACACCCCGCGAGGGCCGCGCCGAGGAACTCACCGAGGACGTCAGGACGCTGGCCGTGGAGTGGAACGAGCAAGGCGTCCGCTTCAAGGAGTGGCGGCGAGCGGTCGGCGAGAGCAGTGAGGAGGCGTTGGGCGGCTGCGAGCTGCGTGGAGCAGGCGCGGCTCTGCACCTGAGTCAGAGGTTCACGCAGCATGGCGGTGATCCTAAGACATGGATGTCAAACTTCTGCCGGGAGTATGGCGTCAGTCAACGAGACCGCACCTGGCACGAGCTGAGCTGCTTGGTGACGATCTTCTGGCTGGCGGGGACCTTCGACGCAGTGAACCTCGGGGGCCTGACTTGCCTGGAGGTGGCGGCGCGTCGGGTCGCCCAGATCACCGAGGCCCATCGCGTGGCTCCTGGGCACCCTGCGGCTTGGGAGGCGGGCCGCTTCCTGACGGGCACCAGCGACCCTTTCGACGCGGCGTCGCCCGAGCTGCGGAACTTCGCGAACCGCGCAGCTCGGGGCGAGGCCGAGCGCCTGACCGCGCTGGACCGGGGCCGGACGCTGGCCAGTGGCGGGCGCGGGGCTGGCGGCAGTGAGGATGTGGCCGGCGCGCTGGCGTCGGGAGGCCTCCCCCGTGCCGGCGCCGAGGGCGACGGAGGCAAAGGCGGCGGCGGCGGTCGCGGTCGCGGGCGGAAGGTCAGGCCCAGCGACGCGTCAGCCGCCGCCCCGCCAAAATGACGGGCGCGAGGCCGGGGGCGAGGCCGCCCCCCGGACTGGAGGCAGAGGCCATGCGCAGCGGGCGGATCTTCCCGTTGCCGCCCTTGCGCGAGCTGGAAGCCGACGTCGCTGGTTCGCTTGGTCGACGGGATCGGGCACGTGTGCGGCTGTTGGCCAACGAGAGTCTGGCTGCTCTGAATTGGATGCACGGCGCTGAAAGGCGGGCGCCTGGCGCGCCACTTAGCCGGGCCACGCGATGCCGCGTGGCGGAGCTGCAGCACGAGACGCAGCGGCGGGCGCAGGTCCTGGCGGCCAGCTGGGGCCCCCCCCGCCTGCGCGGAGGATTCGCGGCAATGTCTAGCACGACTGCTGCGGGGCAGAGGCGGATGCGCCCAGCTGGCCCACGCGACGCTGGCCCCCTTCTCCCACGCTCGGCTGTCGGCCCCAGAGGACCCGGCGGGTTCGCCACGCGTCATGGACCTGCTGCCGGAGGCGGCGCGGATTCAGTTGGAGGATCATGAGAGCCACATATGCATTCGCCTGCGGAGATGGACGAAATTAATGCAAGATGCGGTCCCGTTCGACCCTATGCGGACCCAGTTTTGAGCCATAAGCGCTCTGCCTACGTCCGGTTGGTGAAGCGGTTGCTGAGGATAGGCCCAGTGACCTCTGTCGACCACCTGCCGCTGCCAGGTGGGGATCTTCTTCGTCAAGAAGAAGGGCGACCGCCAGCGGCTGATCCTGGACCGCCCGCCCGGCGAATCGCCTGTTCAGAAGCCCGCCCGGGGTCGACCTTGTCAGCGGCGACGGTCTCAGCCGCATCGAGAGGTCGGCTGAGAGCGGCCTCGACCGAAGCGAGGCGCTGGACGACGTCCCGGGCGGCCTCGACACTTGGCTGGGCGTTAGCGACGCGAGGGGCTGCTTCCACAGGCTGCTCCTGGACGACTGGCCCGGCCTTCAGGAGTTCTTCGGCTATCCGCCGCTGCGCGCCGCCGAGCTCGGCCTCTGGCAGCTGGGCGGGGCGGGGGTCGAGCGGGGCGCGCCGATCTACCCGCTGGCCCGCGCGCTGCCGACGGGCCGGGCGTGGTCGCTACATTACGCGCAGGCGGCCAACGCACATCGCATGACGCTGCTGCGCGAGCAGGACGGCGCCCTGCCCGTGACGGATCGCGGCCCCCCGCTGCTGCTGGATGGCCCCCGGGCCCTCGGCCGCTACACCTACGCGGACAACATCGGGGTGCTGGGGAGCTCGGAGGGCCATGCGAGGTCGGCGCTGGCGGCGGCCACGGAGTCGCTCGGCAATGGCAGGGAGGCGCTGGGGGCGCAGCTCAACGGCCGCGACGGTTGCACGCGCCCCACGCCCTCCAGGTTCTGGCGCTTGCGAGGCGCCGTACAAGCACTGCTGCAGCGCCGCAGGGTGAGCGGCGCGGAACTGGAGATCATCGTGTGTCACCTCACGTTCTTAGGCCTGGTTCGCCGCGAAAGTCCGAGCTGCTTCCATTGCGTCTACCGCTCCATCCAGCGCCATTACTTCGACAGGACCGCGTTGTGGCAGAGCGTGGTCGAGGAACTCCAGGCTTTCATGGGCCCGATGATCTTCCTCCATGCGGACTGGGACGCCAGGTGGCTCCCAGGGGTCTACCAGTCGGACGCGTCCCTCGACGGCTCCGGCTTGGCCTATTCATTGTGGGGGCCCAGCGACGCTGGCCGAGTGGGCCGCGTGCGCGAGCGGTCCTGCTACCGCCTGGGGGCAGGAGCTGCGCGGCGACACGCTGTGGAGGCCGCAGGCCTGGAGCTGCTCGCGGACGGCGGCGTCGGCGCGCCGGAGGCTCGTGCCCGCGGGATCCCCTAGGACGAGGTGGAGCGCTGGTGCCAGGACCCCACGTTCGAGGAGGTGCCGGCGGAGCTGCTGCATGCCGCCCGCTGGCGGACGGCGCTGGCCGATCGGTGGGCCTTCAGGGAGGGGATCCCCCACCTCGAGGGCCGCGCGCTGGTCAAGGCCGTGGAGCGCGTGGCTAGCTCGCGCGCTGGTCACGACGGCCGAGCCCTGCTCCTGGGGGACAACATGGCTGTGGTCCTGGCGTTCTCTCGATCACGGGCTCGAGACTTCAAGCTGCTGGCGATGATTCGGCGGGCGGCGGCTTGCGTGGGCTCAGGTTCAGCTATAGGCGGGCCCCTCGGAGTTCAACAGCAGCGACGAGGGGGGCAGACTGTTTGCCAGAGAGTATGAGTCGGACAACTGCGTCACCCACTTGTTGCCGTGCGATGGGATGACGAGAGACAGATCGGAGCGGGCCCCAGGAGACCCTGTCGCGGGCCCCCCGCCCGCAACCTCGGCGGCCCACCTTCCGGAGCCACCTCGGCTCAAGGAGGGTGGCGTCAGCCCCGAGACCGCGGCCGCATGTCCGGCTGCCGGCGAGGCGGAGCTGGCCGAGCGACATGCCCCCGCGAGGCCGGGCAGGCCGAGAGCGGGTGCTGACCCGGCCGCTGGGGCCGGCGCAGGCCGCGGCCGGGCTGAGCCACTCGGCGCCCGCGAGCCGCAGCCCCCGCCGAGCGCAGACGCTCAGCGGGGTTGCCAGCAGCAACCTGGACCAGCGGGTGAGCGCGGGACCCGCAGACGTGGTCGGGCCCGGCCGCAGCTGACCTCCTTGGCACGCCAGAGCCGTGGACGCGACCGCCGCTGCCGGCGAGGGCGCCAGCGAGAGCAGCTGCGAGGCGGAGCTGCCCGGGGGGGTTCGGCACGCGCCGGCGCCCGGCGGGCGGCGGCGCGGGCGCGGCGGATGGCCTGGGCGGCGCTGCCCCCGGGCAGACCTTCCTGGCGGCGCACAGCGCGCAGGCCTCCACCCGCACGCGCTATCCGATGCACGTGGACGAGCTGATCAGCTTCGCGGACCAGCACAGCGCCCCTCTCGTCGAGGATGCCGAGGTGGACGACTGCATCGCGAGGTGGATGAACGCCGAGTTCGGCGTGGGCCACCGCGCCTGGCGCGGGGAGAGTATGTTGGCAGCGGTGATGTTCATGTTCCCTGGCGTCAGTCGCGACAGCAACTGGAAGCTGCCACGAGCCGTCGAACGCCTGCGGGGCTGGGGCTCCCTGAGCCCTTCGGGGGGCCGCACGCCCCTGCCTTGGCCCACGCGGGCGGCACTGGCGCTGCAGTTGGCGCGGCAGGGCAACGGGCTGGCGGCAATCGCCGTGCTCGTGATGATGGAGGCGTATCTGCGCCCGTCGGAGCTGCTTGCGCTGACGCGGTGCCCACTGATTCCGCCAGCCCCTGGCGGCTTGAGAAAGTGGAGCCTGCCGTTGTGTCCGAGCGCCAGGGGCCCTGCGCGCAGCAGGACTGGCGAGGCGGGCACCTGGCTCGCCCACATGTTCCATCGTCTCAGCTGCGGGCCCGAGAACGAGCGGATCTTCCCGTAGGACTACAGTCAGTTCTACCAGATGTTCGCGCGAGCTGCGGCGTCCCTGGGATCCAGGATGGCGCCACATCAAGGCCGCCACAGCGAGGTCTCAATCGATCGAGCCCAGCGGACCAGGAGCCTCGACGAGCGCGTGAAGAGGGGTCGTTGGGGGTCCGCTAAGAGCGTGGCCAAGTTCGAGGGGACGGGCCGCCTGAACGATGCCTGGACCGAGCTGACCCCAGTCAGCAGGAGCACGTCCTCGACAGCGAGCGCCACCTCGAGGATTGCCTCGTGCGTGGGCGCCGACTGCCCGCCCCGCCTCTACACCCATGACCTCCTTCCTGGCCGAATTGTTCAGTGGGACAAGCCGAGTTGCGGCGGCGGCGCCGCGGGCTGGCTACGCGACCCGCGAGTGGGACGTGAAGGCGGGCCCATCTGGCGACGTCCGCCGTCGATGTGTGGAGGCCGACCTGCGAGGGGCCATGCGGCGGGGCCAGGTGCCAGTTTCCAGAGGCTTGAGAGGGCTTCCCGAGATCCAACGCGAGAAGGGACGTCTTGGAAATGCCTGTTTGGATTTTTGCTCACGGACGATCCGTCTTTGCATCAGGACGAGGATCCCTTTCTGTATAGAGCATCCACACAGCAGCTATGCGTGGCACGACCCCGTCCTTGCCGCCCTCCTCCAGCATCCCCTGTGTCGAACCGTCGTGGTGAATCACTGTGCTTTTGGAACGCCCCATCGGAAGGCGACCAGGCTTGTCTTCGGAGGCTCAGAAGTAGACCTTGGGTTTCTAGGGCGTCCTGGTTCGGTTCTCTGTAAGGGACGGCACGGATTTTGTTTTTTTTTCTCGGGAAAGAAGCACATAGTACTTGAAGGAAGTAGCGCGCACGAAGCCGCGGCCTATCCCCCAAAGCTGGCGAGTGCCATGGCTCGGGCCTTGTTGTCGCCTGTGTGGAGCGAACGCTATTCGATTTAAGCGCCCTCGCCTTTTTTAAGTCTTCGTGCCTGCCGGCATTCCGCTCCCCGTGGCTGTGACCTACGGCTTGGGGCCTAAAGGTTTGGGATCTTTGTGGAGCAGACTCTGCATTCAAATGTGTGTGTCGCTCGGCCTCACTTCAGGCCACTTAGAGCTCGATCAGTGGCCAGTCTCTGGGTCTCGCCTGCAACAGACTGTGCTCACCGCCAAGAAAAGAGCGAAGAGCATGATTGTGGGGACCACGTGAATTCTCTGTGCTCCGCTTCGATCTGTCGCCGCCGAATCCGCTCAAGCTCCCACCCACACCGCCCGAATTTAAAGGGGGATTTCTTATGGAGCAGACTCTGCATTCGAATGTGTGTACGTTCGGGCCCGCTCTCGGCCGCGTGAGGCCCCGCCCGCCCTCGCCCCCTCTCTGTCAATTAAAGCTGTGCGCGTCCCGCTGAGCTTTTAGCGGAAGAGGCTCGCTCTCGCCCTGCAGATCCAAAAAGTGCATCGTTCGGCGTCACTTCAGGCCACTTAGAGCTCGATCAGTGGCCAGTCTCTGGGCCTCGCCTGCAACAGAATGTGTTCACCGCCAAGAAACGAGCGAAGAGCAAACTTCTTTTGGAAGACAAGCAAAAAAACAGTGCAAGCACTATTTGGGGAAAGCGCGACCAAGCTTCCCCATGCAGACACATGGGGTGGAGTCTTCCACACAAGCGGAGCCAGTCCGCGGGGGGGTCCAGGGGCCTCCCCTTCCGCAGGGGCTCGAAGCAGAGGTCCCCCGCCAATCGGCTTCCACATCCAGCCGTTGTCACTACCGTAGCGTCGTGGCCAATCGGCACGACCGTGAGCGTCGTCGTTACCTCGACATACTCATTTCATTCAGTCCCTCCCTCTGTTGAAACGAGTGCACATTAGCTGTGCGTGTATATATATATATATATACATGCCGCTGCATATATAAAAGTATGCTAGGCTGCATTGGCGCTTCGCGCTATGCACCTTGGTTCTTAAAAGTTTGGTACGCAAATGGAATGGATATATATATATATATACATATATATATATATATATATATCGACAATTCATTGTTGCCTTTTTTCTGGCACCGCCGTTATAATAATGTGATTCGTTATAGTTTATCCATGTTTCTTGTTCCTCCTTCTCACCATACCCTGCGTATGCTCCCTATCCTCCTCAGCTCTTTTTGTTGAGGCTCCTCCTTGGAGAGCCTCCTGGCTCTGGGGTCTCACACAAGTTTTTCATGTTTTCTTAAAGCCTTCTGGAAGCCCCTTGGGCGTCTTCTGGGGGCCTCTGCGGGCTTCCTCGGGCCACCCTGCCTCCAACGGCTGTCTCCCTAAACGACTGGGTCACGCTTTGGAATGCTTGGGAGCGTGTCTTAGGGCCAGCTCGGGCCGTCATGGGGCTCTCTTAGGCCATCTTGGAACCCTGTTGTGCCATCTTGGGGCTCTTTTGGGCTGCCTGAACGCGGGCAATTTTCGAGCCCCCCAGGCGGCTTCGGACGCCCAGAAGACCGCCGTCTTGGAGCGTCGGGAAGCCGAAAAGAGGAGAACCCCTAAATTCACCCAAAACCAACAGAAAATCAATGGATGTTGCCTCTTGGGGCCTTCTTTGGAGTATTCTTGGAGGCCTCTTGGGACGTTTTGGAGCGATCTTTGGGGGTATGACGACTTTTTGGGGGTCGTCGCGAACCGTCTTGGAGCTTTCTGGGGTCGTTTCGGGAGCGCGCCAGAACGCTTCGAGCCGTCTGGGGCCGTCTTCGGGCTCTCGTTGGGTTCTCCCGGGTCGTCTGGAGGGTTGCCCGAGAGGCCCGGGGTGGGCCAATTTCGTTAGGTGGGGGGGGGGTCCGGGGTCCCGAGCCTTATACTAAGATATGAATAGGAATACGTGTATATAAAATGTGTGCATTCGCTTGTACGATTCATTTTGTTTTATGCGATTGGCCAGTCAGTTCGGAACTGCCACCCCCGTTCGGCAGCCCGGCATTCCGGCCATTGGTGCCCGCCCTCACTCCCCGGGCAGGCGGTCGCGGCCAAGACGGAGCATGGCGCCACCGTCTGCAGCGTCATTTTCTGAGCACTGGGCGGGGAAGCGGCAGTTTGACACCGCGTCCAAGCGTTCATAGTATGTCTGACATCTTCGCTGCCACATACCAGGTGGTGGAGCAGATGCGGTGGAGAGAGTTCCGAGATCGCTCACCGTTACATCACCGCAGGGGCATAAGGAGGAAAACATTCGGGGTGGAGACCAAACGCAGCAGAGCACGCGCCCAGCCGCCTCGCACTCTGGCAAGCGGTACGGGAGCGCGTCGAGGCTGGAGAGTTGATAGCGTCGTCCGGTTTTAGTGGCGGAGCCAGGGTGTCGGGATGACCTGCGGCTCTTAAAGAGGGCACACGGCGGCCGTGCGAATGTTTTTTCTGGTTTGCTGGGAAATCATTGAGAATAATTGTTTGGGATCGTGTTGTTTCTGCGCGTGGCACGTCCAGCGAAGGCTTCTGCAATGGTACGCGCGCGACCGCAAAGGGATAGTCTTCATATACCTCGGCCCACCCGGTGATACGTTCGAAGGCGAACGCGTATTCATGGTTTAGTACCGAATGAGGCAATCTTAAAGTTGTTTGATGACGTGTGATGCACGTTGCTGAGGTCCGGAAATACAAGCCGTTGCAAAACATATGGTTGATTATAGTACACAGGCCATACCGGAATATCGAATGGATTGCGGCCCATCTTGCCACCGTGCATGCGTGGTGGACAAGAAGTATGTTTAGGATTTCTGGGGGCCTTTTGAAGGCCTGCTGGTTGTCTCGGGAACCATCTTGGGGTAGAGGGCTCCAAACGGGAGTTCGACCACGCCGTTTTGGGCCCCTTCAGGGGGCTCTGGCGAGCCTCGCGGGCCTCCCGTAGGGGCCTCAGGGGACGTCATGGGTGTGTCGTGAACGCCTCTTCGGCACTCTTGGACGCTCTGACGATTCAGACAAGTCGAGCACGCGAAAATCATACAAAAGGTGGTTGTTCGAGGTTGCGAGTCAGCCGAGTACGCGAAAGATCTTTTCAATGATTACGGTCTCTTGGGCCAGCTTCGCGGGCCTCCGAAAGAGCCCAACAGGCCCACATGAGAGCTCCACGACGGCTCCGTGGGGCCACCGAGGGTTCCCATGCCTTTCTGGCGAGTCTTGGAAGGCTCATGGGGGATGCTAGAGTCGACTCCCAGAGATACGTACAAACGCCCAGCACCGCCCAGGAGTCTGGCAACTGATCCGAAAGCCTTGGGGAGTATTTCAACGCCTCGAACTTAAGATCTGCATGAGACTGGGGAACTCCACCACATACATTCTGAAAGCACGGTGGCCGATTGAGCGCTTGTTTGTTCGAACCACCGACAGCGCCTCTGGAGAGTTCCGACAAGGCTTGATTACACCCTTCTCTTGTCATGGTTGTGTCCGATGGAAAGATGTAGCATTGCCGATCGGATTGTGCCTTGTTTGAGGACCACATGCGAAGAATCAAAGAGCATGATGCGCACCCATTTCATGATAAGTACACGAGATATGACACGTGCGGTTGTTGCGTGCACGGGATGTGTGTTTATTGCGTGCGCCTTGGGCCTCCATCCCGAAATCGAGTTGGAGAGCAGCTAAGTGCAAGAAAGATTGTGTGCGTTCTTGTTGGGAGCAATTGTCATTCGATACTCTTGCCAGCAAAACATTGAGGAGGCAATTCGGTTCCGCGGCAGCTCCTCTAGATAGTGTGCGCAGAAATTCGCCAATGGAAGAGCGCTATGTTTTGGGCGCGTCATTGAACACTCGATTGAAACGCATCAAATGTTTTTACGATCGCCGTCGTACAACGGCTGCTATGGAACGCAAGCCGTGCTCAAGAAAAATTTTCTATTATTTGCACGTATCTTTTCTGACACCATCAGCATTAAGCCTTTAGTATTACTCCGCCGCCATCGGACGTCATGTGTACGTATCGTTAGCATGTGAGCGTATGCGAGCGATACACTCAGACCGCACATCTACATGCACCCCCCCCCCCAAAACGATCTCTCTCCCCGGACTGGCCCTCTCTTGGTTGTGGCCTTGGCGTTCATCTCTTTGCCCCCCTGGCCCCGAAGCCGTCTACTCTCGTCGTCGGCTTGGCCCTCTTCCAGCTCTGGCCCCGGCGCTTGTCTCTGCGCTCCCCTGGTTCTGGGAGCCTTTCCTTTTCCTCGTTGTTCGTTCGTCCACCAGACTCTCTGGCCCAGCCTTTCCCACGAACGAAAAAAGAGGAAGGATGCGCATGGCCCAAAATTTCAAATTGCGGGGAATCCGGACAGGAAGAGACGAAGGAGGGGAGGGGACGGAGAGGAGGAGAATACCAGGCAAGGCGAGAAGACGGAGCGCAGCCAGAAACAAAGGGAAAATTGATTGAGGGAAGCGTCGAC